GTCACAAAGAGCCGGACACAACTTAGCAACTAAAAAAAGATAACAACAACTAGTCAGTGTAGGTTCGGAACAGGCAGGGAGACACTAGACAAGTACCTGGGAGTCAGATGACTGGTCAGTGTGCAAGTATCAGTGTCAAGATTAGGGCTCATCTGAAAAGATCTAGGAGGAGGCTTAGACTGAGGCTGGATGGGGGAGCTACCTGATCCAAGACTAAGACCAATATCAGTGTCTCAGGCTGAGGCCAAAGTTGGGGCTCATTGTGGGACTGAATTCTGGGCTAATGTGTCAGCATGAAGTGTGTATCCAGGTGATATGCAGAGTCTGACTACAGGAAGGAGTCAGTGGATAATGGGGTCAACATGGTATTCCTATACAAGGTGAAACATCAGATAAGTACCAGCCATTGGAGAACTTAAAACGAGATATTGCCAGGGGAGTAGTACAAGTGATGGTAGACAGAGAAGGAAGTCACTAATTTCTAAGAGCCTCCCAACCTTAAAGACGGGAATAGCCAGGCTAGAAGAGCCTCTTTTCTCCTCAGAATGTGAATTTCAGTATTCCAGTTCCAGCTTCCTGTTGAAGCCCCCCACCAACCCTAGTACTGCCACATACAAATGATAGGAACAATTTTGGGACACAGAGAGGTCCAAGAAACAGTCCTGTCACTGCATAAAGCCGGCAGTGTGGGGGTAGTCTTCCTTTCCCCCAGGATTCTCTGTTTCTACTGGCAACAGTGCTGGCAGCCTCCCACACCCAGATCTTAGCAACCCTGGGAGCCCCTGGCAACTGCTGCCATGGTGACAAGACAGGGAACTGAGAACAGGCTGGGGGGAGCACTTCCTCTGGAGCCTTCAGGACATACGTGAGAGAGGTCTCCCGCTCCCATACACAGTCTGGGAGGGAACATGTCCTCCTGTCTAAACACCTCCTCACTGGCACCCACCCCCGCCCCTGCCCCGGGGTTCCGGTTCCCTCAGGGTGAGGAAATGAGGGACATCTACGGTTGTGACGTCTCCAGAGGGAGAGAGGGTGAGAGGGGGTGTTTGGAACTGACAAGATCACAGATGCATGCATACAAAGGCAGACAGTGTCAGTGTATCAATAGCCATGAAGCCTTACTTCATCCACTTTTTGTCATGTAGACAGACACAGGCCTACACTTAATCACATATGTACAGTAACACAAAATCACATACCTACAATAAATAACACAGAATCAAGCACACACAAAAATAAACAGATACACTTTCACTCATAAATCACATGATAAACACAACACTACAAATAATTTCCAGACTCCAACGTTTGTAGATGCACTCACATATCCAGATATCTGTGAACATATAGAATAAGTTAACTTTCTTGACCATTAACTGCAGGCCAAGCTGTCAGCACTACATGTGTCACCTTAATTAACCCTCACAACAATCCGATGCAGTACGGCTGTCTTCTATCTCCACTCTACAAAAGAGGACATTAGGCACTGGTACGGTAAGCAGCCTCACAAGGTCAACAGTCTGCCTTCAGAGCCTACTTCCTCACACCCTCTGCCACACCCTGAGGCACCCCTGGTCCTCTCACACACACCTGATACCCAGGACAATGGGACACAGGACAGCAACTGCAAACTCGGCGAACAACAGAATCTGTGCCACCGATAACTGAAGGCACAGCTCTGCCCCCCTGAAGGTCTAAGCCTACACTTTAGCATTAGCTGGGACCAGGTAAAGGCCGGTGACTAAACTCTGCCTCCGTGTTGGCACAGGCAAGGCTGGGGGAGGCAAAATAGACAGAACTGGAATAGGAAGAATCAGAGCCTCCCACAGTCCAGGCCCCCATGAATCTGGAGGTAGAAGATTGAGAGCCCTTGGATACAAGGAGCCAGTACCAGTCCTGAGCCCCCTCACCCTCCCTTTCCCACCTCCATGTCACACTATTTCATTCCCTCACCACCCAACCTCCCCTCCCTTTCTCATGCCTTCTCACCTCATCTCTCTATCCCATCCCTTTGCTACTCAACCCATCTCCCCTCCCTCTTATCCCCTCTCCCTCACCCACCTCCCCTCCCTCCTATCCCCTCCCTCACCCATCTCCCCTCCCTCCTATCCCCTTTCCCTCACCCACCTCCCCTCCCTCCCCTCCCTCACCCACCTCCCCTCCTTCCTATCCCTTTTCCCTCACCCATCTCCCCTCCCTTCCCTCCTTCACCCACCTCCCCTCCCTCCTATCCCCTTCCTCACCCATCTTCCCTCCCTCCTATCCCCTTTCCCTCACCCATCTCCCCTCCCTTCCCTCCCTCATCCACCTCCCCTCCTTCCTATCCCCTCCCTCACCCACCTCCCCTCCCTCCTATCCCCTCCCTCACACCCATCTCCCCATCTTCCCCCTCCCCTCTCCCTCCTCCACCCCTGCTCTCTCCTGCCTCTACTCTACTCCCTCACGCATCTTCCCTCCCTCCTCTCCTTATCCCCCCTCACCCTGCCTCCTCTTACCACACTTCCTTTCCTTCCTTCACACCCCTTTATTTCTGGAATCCCCATCATGATAACCAGAAAGCCAGATAGTAGAGAATAGGCAGACCTGACCCTAGGACCCCTAGACTGCCCTCCTGTTCTATTCTGTGTCCTAGATATTGATGCTCTCCAAGCTTCAGTTTCAAGCTCCATCTAGTTTGCATGACTTCATGGGTGTCCATACTCTGCCTCTGGGAAACCACAAGGAAAGAGAGGTGACAGCTTCTGCTCTGGTTCTTCCTTTGTCCTCAAAGCCCCCAAGAACTCCTTCCCCCTCTTCACCCCTGGATTACCCCCTCTCCACCCCCGCTCCCTCTAGCACAGATGGGCCTGGGAGACAGTGACGTGGGCGCCAGGCACCGTGTCTGCTCAAGCGTCGGCTTCCGCTGGCAACCGCCTCCGCAGCCCTGCCTGCTCTGAACATCGGGGACACTGGGGCTGAGAATTAATGGGGGTGGGGGTACTGAAATGGGAGATTATGAGGGTGTTAAGAAAGAAGATCATGTGGAGCTGAGATGAAGGATTAAAAGGGGGACTAGGATAGGGGAGCTCGTGGGAATAAGGATTAAGAATAGAGTAAGGCAAAAGATCATAGACGAAAGACAGGAGATCCTATGGGGTCAAGAAGGGAGGAAAGTAAAACGGGTCTAAAACATGTGTTACCTTAATGGGAACTCAAAGGGGAAGTAAGATGAAAGATTATAGGAAGAACTTTAATGGGTATCATGGGGGTTGCTGAGAAGGGGCTGCTCATGAGGGAAAACGAATGAGGGAAACATACAGAGGATAAAAAGGAGACTCAGAAACGGGATTATGGAGGTACTAAAATTGTGGAGAACTACCAGGTTACAAAGGAAAGAGTAGAAGAGTACTATGCACATCTACCGGGGCCTATTTTGAGATTTAGTTAAGTCACATCAGGTCAACTCCGGGTCACGGTAAGGTAAAGCTAAATCAGGTCAGGGCTAAGTAAGTTCACGGTTCAATGGAAGACAGGTAAGAAGAAATGACCTTTTGACCCTGGTCCAAGGACTACACCTCCCAGGGTGCACTATTCTCTCCCCTACTCTCCTAAATGAAGAAAAGAAAGAATGCCCAGAGTCACCGCCAACTGGTGGGCGCAGTTTTCCTTTAAGGCTGCCTTTGACGTTGCAGGGGTTCCAGAAGGTTCTCCCGAGATTCGAGCAGCGGCCAGTACGTCCCACCTTCTCAAACCGGAGATTGGACTAAAATAGTTGTCCCCCGACTCGGGTCTAAGCCCCACAGACCAACCAATGAAATCAAAGGGCGCGAAGCGTTGCCGCCCTCTGTCCCTTTCACCAATGACATGACCAGATAGCGAAGAGGTGTGGTTGATTGATTTCAGAGTGCACCAATCAGACTCATACCAATCACTGCCCGGAATGTGTGCGCGTGTGGCCGGGTGACAGGGGCGGAGGAAGGGACGGCTACCACAGAGCCACTCGTTGAAATCTGCCCAATTACAACAGAGGCTGAGCTGAGTGACGGGCAGACGGCGCAATGGGCAGTACGGAGGCGGAGCTGTGGGGGCGGGTTCCCGGGCCGGCTGTCTGCCGCCGGCGGGCGGGCGACTCCTGTCCCTAGTGGAGGCGGCGGAGCCAGAGCCGGGGGAGGGGGCAGCGGCTGTCTGACGGACCGCGGCGGCGCCCGCAGCTCCTCACCGGTGAGGGCGCCGAGCCAGGACTCCAGGGTCCCGGGGGTGGGGATGGGGGCTTCGCGAAGCCAGGGGTCCTAATGGGGGGAGCGGGGATCGGGACACTGAGGGCCCATCGACTCTTCCGCCGCGGGGGTGTGGGGACTCGTAGTCTACAAGGTGCTCGATGTCCGCGACCCTCTCAGAGGGGGCAGCCGGTTTCTGAGCCGGGGGAGGGTCGGGCCGGGTCGCATTGGGTTCTGCGGAGGCGTTTCTGAGCCAGCCCAGTCAGCCAGCGCCGGTGACATCACCGACCACCCTCCTCCGCCGGAGCCCCCTCCCCTCTCCTCCCCTCCTCTCCTCGCCGCGCCTTTTGTCCCAGCCGAGCTCTGTCCCGCCCCACCCCGCCCATCTGCGAGGGAGGAGACTCCCCGTCAGTGACTTCATTGAGTAGATTCTTGGGGATCGGGGTCTACTCCTCCCCAGGAGAGACGAGAAGAACACACTGCCTCTAAGGCCCTCACAGACAATCACACCTGTCACAGGTACACACGCTGCCACTCACAAGAATACGCTCTTCGCAGTGCCAGCCTTACTGTCACACTGCCATACAGCCATTCCCAATCAGCCAGACCTCGCTGCACCTGAGAGCAGGTGATCGCTGGACCCTACCCCTTCACTCTCCACACCTGGGGATCAGGTCCAGCTCCTGCTGCACCGGACAAGGCTTGCTGGGCAAGTGCCCGAGACCCTGAGGAGGTGGCTTCCAGAGCTTCAGCTTTCCAAGCGGGCTCCGGTGGAGCGATCTGAGGTGAGGGGCTGGGCTGGGCATGTTTAAGCGCACAGTGCTCTCCTGCCCATCCCCAGCAGCACCCCCACTACAGGCCCGAGGAGCTTTCCGGAGCTTCCCACACTTCTGGGGAGAAGACTTCTTAGCCAGCTTGATGTTTAAAATTCAGCTGGAGCCCTTAAAACTTCGAGCGTGGACGCTGAATGGGTTTGTAAAGTTTCGGTAAGTCCCTCTGGAGAAGGGCACTCATACCCATACCAAGTCAAATTCTTCATGTCATATCCCCCCTCCATTGTCTATCTGCTTCCTCCATCTCATCTCATCCCCAGTTACATGTAAGAATCCCCCTCTGTCCCACCCTTACATTTGAATGAACTGCACCCCTTGTCATTCATCTCCTATACCAAACCATTCAGGCATCCATCTTCCACAAATACCTCCTCTAGTATTTCAACTCTTTACATCCCATTGGCAACCCATTTACCACCTGAGACATTTCCACTTGTCATCCTTCATCGCCTTCCCTCAGTACTTCATTTCTGTATCAACCATTCCCCTTTACTGGACCAGTCCCCCTTGCTAGTTCTCATTTTTCATTCCTGCCTCTACAGTAACATCCTCCTCATTCTCTCCATCCAAGGCAGTGCCACGCCATGGGGTTCCTTTGTCATTCCAACATGTGGCTCATGGGTATGGAAGGGAGGGGGGGAGGGAGGGAAGAAAAAAGGCAATTCCTGAAAGAGCTTGCCTACGTCTGTGGAGGCAAGAGAATTATAGGTCTAGAACAGCAAGCAGGTGGTTGCCGGGGAGGAAACTGGCCGTATGAAGAGGTAATGCAGGGACAGCGAGGGGAGGGTGAGAGCAGCGCCAAGCCGTTCCACTCACCCTCAGCCTCAAACCTGCTATAGTTCTCTGGGGGCACCCTCTTGGTGTGATAGGGTTCCTTCCCAGTTTCAGGGGAAAGAAAGTGTGGGCTGAGGCAGAGATGGTGGCAGACCACCCCCAGCTCCCTCTCAGACGGCTTTTACTGCTGCTTCCGAAAATGGCTGCCCTCCCCCAGATGCTCTTTCTTCTCTGCCTCCCCCAGCTGCAGCCTCCCCCCACCAGGCATGACATGCTGGTAGGGAGAAGGGGGAGTACCCGCCTTAATGGAGCTTTCTCTTCATCAGAGTGAGATGACTCCCAGAACCATGAGTCAGTCAACCCAGCCACCTGTAACAGGCCCTGTGGGGGCAGGAGTTAGGGCTGTTGTCCTTGTCTACCTGAGGCCTTGAGGCCTCCCCTTACCCATTATAACCTTTACTCCTGCCAGGAAACTCTGTATACCTCTCTGAAGCAGTCAGAGACAGAAATGCAGGCCTCAGCTGTGGTTGCCAGCCCAGGACACTGCTAGAAAGACTCTGGGCTTTGGCAGGGGTTGGCCAAGTCTTGGGTTGGAGAATGGCTTCTGGCCATTCCCCCAAATAGCTCTAGCTACAGGAAAATGCCCTTCCTTCATATCCACCACAGAGACATTGATAGAGGGAGATTAGAGTGAAAGAATTAGAGTCCTGTGTTTCTCCCTCATATAAATAACAAATGCCCTTGCACCCAGCCTGCAAGGGACTATCAAAGGAGTGTGGACCTGGCACTGGGCCAGATCCTAAACCATGGGGCAGGTGAGAGAGAAGAACTGGTAGAAAAGGTATTGAGGAAATGTTGGTTAGTGCCTAACTGTCTCCTAAAAACTGAGGTTAAAAAGACCCTACCCTAGGATGCTTTTGTTCACTAACACTGACGCTTAGGCGGCACAGACATGTCTTCAAACTGTTTTGTGTGTAGACACTGGGAAATGAGTAAAGCAAACTGTTGCCCTGACTAAGAGAAGGGCAGTGTCACCCCCCTGCTAATGAGGGAGTTAGAAACAGCAGTTTCCAAGGCTGTTAGTCATCCTCTGATCTGAATCACACGTGAGGCTTAACATAGTTTGGGGAATGGGCGTAGGAAGACCTGGGGTCTCCAATGGCAGAGAGGAATTCAGGCACCCACACCTGACTCAGCCTGGCTGGCCAAGGCATCTGGCTGAAGACCCAGGCCCATCCCCAGTCCTGGGCCACTGCCCCAGCTGCCCTTAGCCTGGGCACCATGCCTGAGGCATGGCGTAGGAGACCACGATGCTCAGGTGACCTCACCCCGTACGCTGATCTTGGCCAGCTCCTGCGCGTGGATCTGTCAGTCCATGGTACCGCCTCACTCAGCTGGGCTCGTGGGGGTCCTCAGTCTGTTCCAAGGACCTAGGCCTTAGAATAGCCCCAAGACTTGGGCCACAGCCCCCAGCTTCCTGTTGGGAAAACCCAGGAGCTAAGGAAAGAATCACAGAATCCTAGAATGTCAGAGCTGGAAGAGATCTTCTAGTCCAAACCTTTCATCCTACTGATGGAGAGACAGAGGCCCACAGAACTGGCATGACCTGCTGAAAGTTACACAGTGAGTCATTTAGGAACTTCAGGATCATCAGGAATAGGACCGGGGTAGAAGGAAACAGTGGCATCAAGGATCAGCCCTGGTTTCTTTCAGAAACAAGGAGACCAGTGCCGGTCCAGTGGCTGTGATGGGAAAGGATTACTACAAGATTCTTGGGATCCCATCTGGAGCCAATGAGGATGAGATCAAGAAAGCCTATCGGAAGATGGCCTTGAAGTACCATCCAGATAAGAACAAAGAACCCAATGCTGAGGAGAAGTTTAAGGAGATTGCAGAGGCCTATGATGTGCTGAGTGACCCTAAGAAACGGGGCCTGTATGACCAGTATGGGGAGGAAGGTAAGAGGGCAGTGCCCCAGCTGATACTGGATGTCTGTCCTTGTTGGGGGTCCTGGGTGACCTAGTTCTCAAAGCAGGGAACTAGAGACTGAGAAGAGGGTGAGAGGCACAAGTGTTCCCAGCACTAACATCCAGAGGGAAGAGACCACCCACTCCCCAGTCCCAGCTCCCCATCCATCTCCCTGCCTTTCTCTGCCCCTCTCCCTCCTCAAGTTCAGGCCTTAGAGAAGCTAGAGCCAGAGCCCTTCCCCGCCCTTCTTTCCCTCCCAGCCTTATTAGTCCTGCCTGAAGTCCCTGCTGCTTCATTGGCTGATGGGGAAGGTTAGGAAAGGGAGTGTGTGGCTCTCTGAGGACAGAGCATTTACAATCATCAGCATAAAAGTTTGGCCCTTAAGCAGTCGGGAAATTAACCACTGGAGCTCTCAGCTAGAGATGGTTGTCCCCTTCCCTGCCCCATTCCGGCCCACTTCAGGCCAGCAGAACAGAGATAGAGTTTTGACTCCCTGAGGAAGTGGCAGGGATCCAAAAGTGAAACGGGAACTGCTGCTGGCAACTTGCCCCCTCCCTGGGGTAGCTGGTGGCCACGCACAGGGTGGCAGGAAAGGTCCAAATAAAGCCTCTGAGAGGGCGGCTCCTCCCAGCACATCCCACGGGCATGATGTAGCTGCTAATTCTGGGCCTGCCCCTCAGGGCCGCCTGCCACCCGCCAGCCACAAGCACCTGTCAGGCTATATTAAGAGACATTGTCACAGCTGAGGACTCTCCTTTCCGGGAGGAACTGCCCTTCCTCCCCAGCCGGATCCACCTTTCTTCCACTTTCTCCTCCTCAGTCTCCCCGTTCTAGTCTCCAAATGGGCTAATGATATGCACTGTACCTGACACAGAGTAGGTACTCAAAAGAATGTTCTTTCCCTCTCCCCAGCCTTTGCTTTGTGTTGCATGACCCAATCCTCTGTACACCCTAGTCCTCCCAACCCTCTCTTCTTATTCTCCATGCCAAAGTTCCTTCCATTATTCCCTCCTCACCTATTAGACTTGCCAATTCCCAGATTCATCAGGCAGTTGCTGGAATCCTCAGTATTCTTTCAGCTAAGAAATGTTTCTCTCTGGGGTAGGGAGGTGAGAGGGGTAGTGGTGGGGAAGAGGAAAGCAGTACAGACACCATGCCACCATGTGACCTGTCTAGGAATTGCATTCATTCCTCTGCTTGGCCTTATCGTGATTAGGAAAAAGGTAGGGGCTTGGTTATTTAGTCGCCAAATCGTGTCCAAGTTTTTTGTGACCCCATGGATTATAGCCAGCCAGGCTCCTCTGTCCACTGGACTCGGGAGGCAAGAATACTGGAGTGGGTTGCCATTTCCTTCTCCAGGGCATCTTCCCAACCCAGGGATTGAACTCCTGCATTGCAGGCAGATTCTTTACCATTGAATCACCAGAGAAGCTAATAGACTTCTTTCTGCAAGACCAAACCTAAGTGAAGGGCAAAGCTTGGATCCTAGGTCCAGACACTGGTTCTAACACAAATCTACACCCCAGGAGAGTTCCTGGGGATACAGAACAATCTTAAGGAGACATCCAGGGCCTAGGAAGAGAGAAGCAGCCTTGGAAATGTGGATCATATTTCTGTCTGCCCTGCCCCCTCCCCAGCAGCCAGCCAGAACAGTTGTGAATATAGACTCTGTGTGCACCCTGGCTGGGGACAAGTTGTTCCCAGCTTGAAAGGGGGGCAGTAGTGGTACAGCAGGAATCCTTGCAGAGAAATTGCCCCCTCCTGTCATCATCAGACCAGTTTCTCTCACTGAGCTCTGCCAAGCTTCTTGAGTTCACCTGACAATCAGACCCCCAGTACAAGGAAAGAACAGACTTTGAGTCTTAGGAAGGATGAAGAGGCAGCTGTTACAAGTCACTGAATTGCTTGCCTCTTGGCCTCTTCAGTGAAACCCAAATCTCCTCTTGTGGGCCCAGGAAATAAGAGGCTAAATCAGGCTCAGGCTTCCACAGCCAGTGAATATCGAGATAAAGGCCCCCAAAGAGAAGAGTCCCTTCTCCTAGCCTGGGCCCCAGCTCCGAGTCTATCTGTATACCCTAGATCATTTCTCAGTGTTAACCTCCTTCTTCACTCCTCCCCACACATGCCCGGCCCCCACCACTCCCATCACCATCACGACCATGCCCCATGAAGACTGCCTCCAGGAGTCTGAGCCCCTGAGATAGAACCTGCCTCCAGAGAGCGTCACTGGGGTCCCACGGCCATGTTCCAGCTCATGCATGCATTTTGGCTGCTCTGACATAGGCGTGGGGAGAAAGCTCGGTGCTGTACACTCCAGGGTGCTGCACAGTCTACACTTGTCCCTGAATGGTGCCCCTTGGAGCTATACAACACTATGAGCCCTGAGTGTGGGAACGAAGCATTTTAAAACTTTTTGTAGGGAAGTAAGTCTTCTCCAGGCTAATGATCTTTCCTACTTTAGAGGGCCCTCCTGATTTCCCATTTGGGTGGGAGTCAGAGAAAGAGGAAACAGTGCTTGAAGCAGATTGAGAGGGGACTTCCTCCTTGATGATACCCCTACCTTATTTAGGACAAGTCACTTACTAGCCCCCTGGATGGTCAAATTCTTTGTGACTGCCTCTTGCCCTGTCTTTGGAGATAAGTAAATCTGGGAGCCAGGTATGACTTGTAATATGACCCCAGGCCAGCCTTTCAAGGCTTAGTGAGACATCTTTGGGTCACAGGTAGATGGAAGAGATTACAGCGCTGGAGGCTGCATCCTACAAGTCTTCTAGTCTTAGCTTTTCAGCCTCTTTGATCCTCAAGATGTTCCTTATTATTATTAAGCATATAAAAAAGTAGAAATTAATCTTGCCAGAGATTTTTCTTACTCTATTAGGCCAGCCCTCTCTGTGGGAGTTAAAGGTTGCTTCTTTCTCTAGGCTGATGAACTGGGAGCTAGAGAGCAAGGGGAGGAGACTGGGGTGGGGCGGAGACCAGCTGCACTGCCCCTAACTTCTTCTCCCTCCAGGCCTGAAGACTGGCGGCGGTTCCTCAGGTGGCTCCAGCGGCTCCTTTCACTACACCTTCCATGGAGACCCCCATGCTACCTTTGCCTCCTTCTTTGGAGGCTCCAACCCCTTTGATATCTTCTTTGCCAGCAGTCGCTCAGCTCGCCCCTTCAGTGGCTTTGACCCAGATGACATGGATGTGGATGAAGATGATGACCCCTTTGGCGCCTTTGGTCGCTTTGGCTTCAATGGGCTGAGTAGGGGTCCAAGGCGAGCCCCAGAACCACTATACCCTCGGCGCAAGGTTCAGGACCCACCTGTGGTGCATGAGTTGAGGGTGTCCCTGGAGGAAATCTACCACGGCTCCACCAAACGCATGAAGATCACAAGGCGGCGCCTTAACCCTGACGGGCGCACTGTGCGCACCGAGGACAAGATCCTGCATATTGTCATCAAGCGTGGTTGGAAGGAAGGCACCAAGATCACCTTCCCCAAAGAGGGCGATGCCACACCGGACAACATCCCTGCCGACATCGTCTTTGTGCTCAAAGACAAGCCCCACGCACACTTCCGCCGAGACGGCACCAACGTGCTCTACAGTGCCCTGATCAGCCTCAAGGAGGTGGGGCCTGGATCAGATCATGCTTTTACGGGGCAGGGGGTGGCAGTGATGGAGATTTTTTTCTTCCCCACTTTTACTTTTCTTCCCTTCCAATCACTCTACCCTACATTTTCCTCATTCTGTCTAATTTCCCCTAGGCGCTGTGTGGCTGCACCGTGAACATTCCCACCATTGATGGCCGAGTGATCCCTTTGCCCTGCAATGATGTCATCAAGCCAGGCACCGTGAAGAGACTCCGTGGGGAGGGCCTTCCCTTCCCCAAGGTGCCCACCCAGCGGGGAGATCTCATTGTCGAGTTCAAAGTTCGGTTCCCAGATAGATTAACACCACAGACACGGCAGATCCTTAAGCAACACCTACCTTGTTCCTAGGCTCTGCCCTAGTCAACCCAGAGTCCACCACAGCAATACCCCCCACACTCACCCCATCCATTGTGCACCCAGCTTGATGTCCACTGGACACTGGCAACATTTTCTAAAGTGCAAAAAAAGAAAAAAAAAAAAGCCACTGGTTTTCAGGGGAAATGTTCCTATCCCTGACCCCTTTCAAAGCTGGGCTGCCCTGGGGGAGTGGGAGGGAGGTGGGGAGAGCTAGCCCAGGCCAGGGGTCAATTTTCATGTCACAATGTTTGAATCCAGTTCCCACTCCAGTGACTGGAGAATGACCTGAGTGCTACTTGAAGATATAGAGATTCCTTGTCCACGCCTGTAAATAGCATGTCCTCCTTCCCCTCTCAGCTTTGCTAATACCTCTCCTTTCCCTTCCCTTCAGTTTCCTCCTATTGAGGGAGGAAGAGGATAAAATGGACACTGCTTTCCCACCCCAGTCCCACCCTCAAGTCCACAGTGTCCAAGGTTATCACACACATATTCATGCACACAAAACACATACCTAGAGCTGTGTGTGCCTCTCCAGGGTTGAGATAAGAAGGGAAGGTCCGTAACCCATGAACCGGGCCATTGAGCACGAGACACTTTTCATTTGGGGCAGGGAAGTGAATGGGACCCTCAGCAGCCTTCTTGACAGCTACCCTGCCCAGACCCTGCAGAGCTGGAAGTTCTGTCCTCCCTGTTGCTCCCAGGAATGTGCAAGGTAGAGAAAGGGGAGGGGACCTGCTGTATTAAGGCTAAGAGGTGGAGGGCACAGTCTGTCTTCCAACCTTCATCAGGAAGCAAAAGGGCTTTGGGGTCAGGTGGCAGCTATTCCCCACCAAGAGATTCAGGGTCACAGGTGTCTCCCCACACCTCTGAACTCAGGGCCTAGCCACCCCTAAACTTCCAAATCCCATTTTTGTGATATATGAAGCTACTTATTTCTTACCCTTCATAGAGGCTGCGTGGGGAATTTCTAGCCCTTTGATGCCTGTGTGACCCCACCCCACTCCCACAATTGTAAAGGTCAAATAGTGAAGGAGCTAGGGTAAGACTGCTTCAGCCAGGTTCTGGGATGGGGTTTTTAGGTTTTCTCACTTTGACAAGCCCTTGAATGTTTTTATAGTAGTTTTTTTGTATTTTTTTGTAATGACAGTATTATGAAAAAAATAAAGTATTTTAAAAATATGGCATCTGAGCAAGAACAATGAAGCTGTGATGGGGGTGGATGTTCACTGTCAGCCTCCCTCCTGAGCCTTGCTCACCTCTATGAAGACCAAGTAGGCCCTCAATATAAGGTAAAGCTGACTCCTTCCTTCCTTCCTCTAAGCCCAGATTTCCAGAATTTCCAAAATGTGGACCCAAAATTCAGCAAAGACAGAAGATATCACTCAGCTATGAGAAGAAACAAAGATTTGAAAAGAATAAATATCCTGCATTATAAGAAATAGAGACTATCCTCCACAAAAGATATGCTAGCCAGAGAACAAGGATCAGGCCTACAATGACCATGCCCTCCTGAACTTCAGTATCCCAATGCCATGAAGACAACTCTGTCTTCACCTGAGCCTGGGCTCCATACAGAGGCTGACAAAGTGTAGGCTTTTAATAGGGACCTTCCTGCCCTTGCTTTTTATCCTGGGACAACACCTATGAGAAAAGTTCATTCTTTTATTCAAGGTACTTTTGGTGAAGACTTCCTTCCAGTGCAGAAACTGAGGGGCTTCTGTTTACAAAATGTCTGCTAATATCCCATCCTGGGCAGGGAGATCCTTAATCCTGCATCCCCTATGCAGTGCTTTCCTATTCAGGTCTCCTAGGGTTGTCCCTCTCTTCACCCAGGGCTAAATTCTTATTCGAGCTCTTTCCTGAGGCCTGAAGCATTGGGATCTAGGCCTCCTGAGACAGACTGCTCTCTCCCACCTCCCTGTGGACATGGATGATCTGGGAGGTCAGAAACTGTCGTGTCCCCACTGAGTACTCTGGGGATAGCCTATGACACCTTAGAGGCCGGGCTGTCTGAGGTCAGGGGCATTTAAATGAGAAAGCCCTGAAGCTGGCCTTGCAGCTCTGCCTACACCCTGAGCTTTGCCATTCCTGGAAGTTACATGAGGGATTTGTGGTCATTCTTAGATCATCACTATTTTGACCTATAAACACTGAGGACTGTGAAAGCCTATGATCATTCCTTCTGAGATTTGTCTGTTAGTTGCCCTGAGGCCACATCAGTGCCAGAGACTCAGCTCCTGCAGGCCTGGACCCACTAGTGTTAAACATGGAACTCTTTCAAAGGTGGTGTTTTAGTTAGTTCCAAATAATATTTATAGGAAATTTTCTAAGAAAAATGGAAACTGAAATGTAATGCTGGGTACCCAGGCCATACTGAAGAAAGTTAAATCCCACAAATTTTCAATCTGCTTCTGTAGCAGGTATTATTTCAGTTGGAGTGGGAGACTGTGTCTTATACTGGGTCAGAAAGGTTACTCCAAAGGCCCTAGTCTGGGGTAGAGAAGAAGGTTGTAAGAATGGGAGCAAGGATTGAAGGTGGGCCTTACGTAGGGGGCTGGAAATAAAACAGGGTTCAGGACTGGGGAACCAGTGGGGAATATTTAGCCTGCATTTAAACTAGAGGGGGATAGAGGAGTGGGCACTAGAAATTTCATTGAATAAAAAAGGGGACCCCAGGGGGGAGCAACCACCAGAAACCAGGACAGCAGCTGCAGGGATTCACTTCACAGAGAGGGGAAACCCTAGAAAAGCTGGCTCCATTTATGCTGCAAAAGGTCCCCCCAGGTTTGAGGATGTAAGGGAGCTGCTGAAGACTGCACAGTTGACTAGGTTTGTCATCAGTGTTCCATAGTGGTTGGGAGTGGGTGTCCTGTGTATCAGCAGGCGACTTCAAAGTAGTCCCAGAAGGGGACTTCCCTGGTGGTACAGTGGATAGGAACCTGTCTGCCAATGCCAGGGACATGGGTTTGATCCGTGGACCAAGAAGATTCCACATGCCACAGAGCAACTAACCCTGTGTGCCGCAATTATTGAGCCTGTGCTCTAGAGCCCAGGAGCTGCAGTTACTGAGACCACGTGCCACAACTACTGAAGACCCCATTCTGCAATTACTGAAGCCGACACACCCTAGAGCCCTCATGCCACAACTTCTGAGCCGGCATGCTGCAATCACTGAAACCCATGTGCCTAGAGCCTGTGCCCCACAACAAGAGACACCACTGCAGTGAGAAGCCCATGCGCTGCAACGAAGAGGAGCCCCAGCTCGTTGCAAATAGAGAAAACCCATAAGCAGCAACATAGACCCAATGCAACAAAAATAAATAAATAAAAATAGTCCCAAAAGGATAAGCAAAGACTGGGAGATCTGAATTGGTGAAAGAAAAATCAGCAATTCTGAAGATAAGCCAATTGAGATTATCCAATGTGAGGAGCAGAAAGAAAAAGAAGAAAAATCAACGGAGCCTAGAAGACCTGTGGAGCAACATCAACTATACAACATGCAAAGAGTGGAAGTCCCAGAAAGAGAGGAGAGAGAGAAAGGGGGAGAAAAAACATCCAAAAAAACAATGGCCCAAACTTTCCAAGTTAAATGAAATACTCGTCTACACATCCAAGAAGCTTAACAAGTTCTAGGTATGATAAACACAAAGAGGTCCAGATTTAGACACACTAAACTGTCAGAATATATGACAATCTTGAAAGAGGCAGGAGAAAAGTGACTCATCATGTATAAGGGATAAGATTAACAGCTGATTTCTCATCAGAGGTATGAAGGCCAGAAGGCATTGGATGACACACTCAAAGTTCTGAAAGAAAAATTCTGTAATCAAATCACCAAAAATACCCCCAAAAATGGGAGAAAAATTAAGACCAGATAAATAAAACCCAAAAATCCATTGCTAGCAAATCTGCTCTACCACAAATACTAGTGGAGTCTTCTAGGCTGTGTGTATACATATATATATATGCAAGCACGCTAAGTCACTTCAGTCATGTCCAACTCTGTGATCCTATGGAGTGGAGCCCACCAGGCTCCTCCATCCATGGGACTCTCCAGGCAAGAGGACTGGAGTGGGTTGCCATGCCTTCCTCTAGGGGATCTTCCCAACCCAAAGAATGGACCCGCGTCCCTTATGTCTCCCACACTGGCAGGCAGGTTCTTTAGCACTAGGGCCACCTGGGAAGCCCGAAGGAAGGTCCCCTAGAGGAGGGCGTGGCGGCTCTCCGTTTATTCTACAACTCGCTCTCGCCTAGAGAGTGCCACGGCCAGAGGAGCTTGGCAGGCTGCCATCCGTGGGGTCACAAAAAGTCAGACGTGACTGAAGCGCCTTAGCGCACACACATATGTGATATATACATATACATATATATATATATAGAGAGAGAGAGAGAGAGTCAACATAAGAAAATCAATCACTGTAAAACATCATATTGATAAAACAAACAGAAAAAAAACAACACATGGTCATCTCAGAAGAATTTTTATGCCAGAAACTCAGAAATAAGGAATAGCAGGAAAATTCCTCAACATGACAATGGATATTTATGTTTTAAAAAAACCCATAGCTAGGGACTTCCCTGATGGTCCAGTGGTAAGAACTCCACATTTCCAATGAAGGGGGTGCAAATTTGATCCTTGGTCAGTGAACTAAGACCCCACATGTTGCACAGCACTGCAAAAATAATAAATAAATATAAAATAATATTTTAAAACCCACAGCTAGCATCATACTCCGTGGTGAAAGACTGAAAGCATCCCCCTTATGATCAGGAACAAAACAAAGATGTTCACTTTCACAACTGTCATTCAACATTATACTGGAAGTACTCCCTGATAAGAAAAAGAAATAGAAGTCATTCAAATTGAAAAGGAAAGGTGAAACTATTTTCCCTTCACAGATGACATGATCTTATGTATAGAAGATTCCAAAGAATCCACAAGAAAGCTGGTAGAGCTGTAAATGAATTCAACAAAGTTGTAGGGTACAAGATTAACACAAAAAAATCAATTGTGTTTCTCTATACACCACAAATAAACATTTTTTCCAAAAAGGAAATTAGCAAGTAATTCCATTTTTAATAGCATATACAGTATCAAATACTTAAGAATAAATCTAACCAAGGGCAGAGCTGAGCTCCAGCCCCCTTTGCCCTCCATGGTTTCTCTCCGCTCCTCCAAGTAACTTGGCGTAACTTGGCCCCAGGGGCTCCGCCTGCCTGCCCGCACGCCGCCCGCCACCCAGGACTGCGCCGTCGGCCTCTGCCTCGAGCAGACCCCTTCCGACGGCCCTCGCTGCGCAGGCTGGGACGCCTCTCCGCCCTCCGCCCCCACCGCGGAAAGTTAAGTTTGAAGAGGGGGGAAGAGAGAGAAACATGGACATGAAGAGGAGGATCCACCTGGAGCTGAGGAACCGGACCCCGGCAGCTGTTCGAGAACTTGTCCTGGACAATTGCAAATCAAATGATGGGAAAATTGAGGGCTTAACAGCTAATTTGTGAACTTAGAGTTCCTCAGTTTAATAAATGTAGGCTTGATTTCAGTTTCAAATCTTCCCAAACTACCTAAATTGAAAAAGCTTGAGCTCAGTGACAATAGAATTTGTGGAGGTCTGGATATGTTAGCAGAAAAACTTACAAATCTTACACATCTAAACTTAAGTGGAAATAAGCTGAAAGATATTAGCACCCTGGAACCTTTGAAAAAGGCGGAATGTCTCAAGAGCCTGGACCTGTTTAACTGTGAGGTCACTAACCTCAATGACTACCGAGAGAGCGTCTTCAGGCTCCTGCCCCAGCTGACCTATCTGGATGGCTATGGCCGAGAGGATCGTGAAGCCCCAGATTCAGATGCCGAGGTGGATGGTGTGGATGAAGACGAGGATGATGAGGAAGGAGAAGATGAGGATAAGGAGGAGGATGAAGACAGCGAGGAAGAAGAGTTTGATGATGAAGAAGATGATGATGAAGACGAAGATGAAGAAGGGGAGGAGGATGAAGATGAAGTCAATGGGGAGGAAGAAAAATTTGGACAAGATGGAGAAGTTGATGAAGATGATGAGGATGAGGATGAAGACAAAGATGAAGATGAAGAAGAGGAAGAAAGCGGGAAAGGTGAAAAGAGGAAAAGAAAAACAGATGATGAAGGAGAAGATGATTAATAAGACCCCAATAACCTGCAAAAAAAAGAACTGTTCAGTATTGGTTGGACTGCTGACATGGATTTGGTAGCTGTTTTGTTTTGTTTTTTAAAAGAAAAAAAAAAGGTAGCTGTGATACAAACCCCAGGACACCCACCCACCCAAAGAGCCAAAGAATAGTTCCTGTGACATTCCACCTTCCTCCATTTAGTCCCTCTTGGAAATCCACCACCAAGCTTGGGGACTTCACCCCAACAAAATTGTAAGTGTTGTTAGGTTTTTGTGTAAGACTTGCTGTAACGTGGATAGCTGTGATTGGTGAGTCAACTGTCCGTGGCTACCAGTTACACCAAGATTGTAACAGCATTTTTACTTTCTGTACAACAAAGAAGCTTTGTAAATAAAATCTTAACATTAAAAAAAAATAAAAAATAAATCTAACCAAGGAGGTTAATAATGTATATGCTGAAAACTACAAAACATGGCTGAAAGTACTTAAAGAACTATATAAACAGAATCCTGTGTCCATGGATCAGAAGACTTAACATTGTTAAGATGTCAGTATTGCCCAAAGTGATCTACAGATTCAGCATAATCTCTATTAAAATTCCAACTACCTTTCTCATAGAAATGTAAAGACCATCCTTAAAATCATATGGATTTTTGAAGAGTCTCAAATAGCCAAAACAGTCTTGAAAAAGAAGAATGAAGTTGGAGGATTCACACTTCTTGATTTCAAAACTTATCACAAAACTATTGCAATTAAAAGAGTATAGGGCTTCTCTGGTGAAAAAGCGAAGGTGTTAGTTGCTCAGTCATGACCAACTCTTTGCATTCCTATTGACTATAGCCTGCCAGGCTCCTCTGTTCATGGAATTCTCCAGACAAAAATACTGGGATGGGTAGCCATTCCCTTCTCCCAGGGGATCTTCTCAATCCAGGGATCAAACCCAGGTCTCCTGCATTGCAGGCATATTCTTCACCATCTGAGCCTCAAATAACCAAAACAATCTTGAAAAAGAAGAATAAAGTTGGAGGACTCACACTTTCTGACTTCAAGACTTACCACAAAACTACATTAATTAAAATAGTACAGGGGTTCCCTGCTGGCTCAGTGGTAAAGAATTTCCTTGCCAATGCAGGAGACACAGGTTTGATACCTGATCTGGGAATATCCCACATGTTGCAACTAAGCCCAAGTGCCATGACTATCGAGTCTGTGCTCTAGAGCTCAGGACCTGCAACTACTGACCCACAAGCTGCAACAACAGAAGTCACCGCAATGAGAAGCCTGTGCACTGCAATTAGAGAGTAGCCCTTGCTCTCTGCAACTAGAGAAAGCCTGAACAGCCAAAAATAAATAGTAAAATAAATTTTAAAATAAAATTTTAAAACCACAATGAGATACCACTTCTACCAAATAGGATGGCTATAATAAAACTTAAAAAAGAAAAAAAAGAAAAACAAAGAAAATAAGAAATGTTTACAAGGATATGGAAAAATTGGAACCCTTGTGCATTACTGATGGGAATGTAATAGTGCAGCCACTGAGGAAAACAGTTTGGTGGTTTCTTAAAAAGTTAAAGGTGGGGACTTCCCTGGTGGTTCAGTGGCTAAGACTCCATGCTCCCAGTGCAGGGGTCTGGGTTCGATCCCTGGTCAGGGAACTAGATGCCACATGCTGCAACTAAGACTCAGTGCAAATAAATAAATAAAAATAAATATTAAAACAAAAAGTTAAAGTTGGAACTACCATATGACACAGCAATTTTATTCCTAGGTATATATCCAAAAGAATTAAAAGCAGGAACTTGAACATATATTTGTACACCAAAGTTCATAGCAGCATTATTCACAATAGCCAAAAGTTGCAAACAACCCGTGTTCATCAACAGATGAATGAATAAACAAATTATAGTATATATACACACACAGTGGAATATAAGTCAACCAAAAGAGAAATGAAAATTTTTATATATTCTACAACATGGGTGAATCCTTAAAACATGTGAAATTGATGTAAAGTAATTAGCCTCCAACTAATAAAAATAAATGGAAAAAAAAAACATGTGAAATTAACTAGACACAGAAGGGCAAATATTATATGAATCTACTTATAAGAGGTACCTAGAGTAGGCAGATTCACAGGGATAGAAAGTAGAATAAAGGATACCAGAAGCTAGGGTTCTGAGACGGGGAAGAAGAGAGAGTTGTTATTTAATGAGTACATAGTTTATGTTGAGGAAGATGAAGAAGTTTTAGGGATAGATGATAGTGATCACCATACAGCACTGTGAGTGTATCTAACTCCTGAATCTGAATTGTACACTTACAAATGGTTAAAATGAGAAATACCATGTTATGTGTATTTTATTATAATAAAAACAATGAAGTCTACATCTAAAACTAGTACAATGTTGGACTCCCCTGGTGGTCCAATGGTTCAGACTCAGCACTCCCAATGTAGCAGGCACAGGTTTGATCCCTGGTTGGTGAACACTACACAGTACAGCAAAATAAACAAACTAGTACAATGTTACATATCAATTGTATCAATAAAATTGTATCAATTGTTACATATCAATTTTTATTGTATAAAAATTAACTAATTGACTTAAAAGAAACAACAACATCAAACAACAATGGATCAAAGGCCTAAATGTAAGAATTAAAACCAGTCCATCCTAAAGGAGATCAGTCCTGGGTGTTCATTGGAAGGACTGATGCTGAAGCTGAAACTCCTATACTTTGGCCACCTCATGTGAAGAGTTGACTCAGAAAAGACCCTGGTGCTGGGAGGGACTGGGGGCAGGAGGAGAAGGAGACAACAGAGGGTGAGATGGCTGGATGGCATCACCGACTCGATGGACATGGGTGTGGGTGGACTCCAGGATTTGGTGACGGACAGAGAGGCCTGGCGTGCTGCGATTCATGGGGTTGCAAAGAGTCGGACACTACTAAGTGACAGAACTGAACTGAACTGAACTGGAAACCATAAAACTCTTAGAAAAACTCACAGGAGTAAATCTTCATAATTTTGGATTTGGCAATGGATTCTTAGATATGACACCAAATTTTTGAGCAACCAAAGGAAAAATAGAAAAATCAGACTTCAACAAAATTAAAAACTTTTGTACTTCCAAGGACACTATCAAGAGAGTGAACAGATAACTCACAGAACGGGATAAAGTATTTGCAAGTCATGTATTTATAAGGGTTTAGTATCCAGAATACATAACATACTCTTAAATTCAACAACAAAAAGACAATCTACCTGATTTTAAAATAGGCAAAAGACTTGAATAGAAGTTTTCCCAAACTATAAGATATTTATGTAGCCAACAAACACATGAGAAGTGTCAACATCACTGGTCAAGAGGAAACTCTTGTACATTGCTGGGAAATCCAAATGTTTTGATGGAATATTATTCAGCCATAAAAAAGAAATGAAGTAGTAGTACATGTTACAAGGATAAACTTTCAAAATCTTATGTTATGTGAAAGAAGCTAGACACAAAATTTCAGTTATATATTCCACTTACATGAAATATGTAGAACAGGCACATCCAGAGAGACTGAAAGTATATTAGTGATTGCCAGGGGCTGGGAAAAGGGAGGAATGAGCAGTATGTCAATGGTATAACTCTTGTTGAAATGAAGAATTTGTTTTGGAATTAGTCGTGGTGATTGCCTAACCTCGAGAAAATAAAAAAAACTATGAATTGTACACTTCTTAGGGTGAATTCTATGCTATGGGAACTATATCTCAATGTTTAGAAGTAATATTTTAAAAAATGAATAAGAGAGATTCCTGTGTAAGAGGTTGATATCCTGAGTCAGGAGTTAGGTGAGGTAAAATAGTCCAGACACAAAGTCTAGCTAGAGAATAGGACCTGAGTGTGCTCTGAAGGAAGAGGGGAAAAGGCAAATGTTAGAGGTGGAGGATTATCCAGTAAGAAAGTAGGAATCAGTGGCAAAAAGGTCTGGTGGCCAAAAGGTAGTGAGAGTAATGAAAAGACTGGTTATAAACAGTCTCAGTCTTGAGAGTTTGAGGGGCAATAGGGTCTAGTAGTAGAGATCCTGGAACAAAGATAAAAGTTAGGGGTGGAGTGAAAGAACGTTAAGTGAATAAAAAGACAAGGAGGGTACCCAGTGGCCTGGAAAGCTCCACAGGAGGAAGAAATAAAGTTTCAGAGGATGAGAAAAACAGATCGGCAAAAATACGGGGGCATATGTCCAAGTGACCTCTAATGACAGAAAGAAGGCCACTGATGTGCATTATAAGGCAGATGTAGGCCTGAGGTGATGTAGCCCAACATGGCAGCTGTAGCCCAACTGCGATGCTGGGCTACAATTAAAGGAAGGGAGACAATAAACTAAGACAGGTACAGTGTGGGAAGACGGGTTTCTGCAGGTCCTCAGGCTGACACAGGAATAAATAAGACAGTGTGAGAGGGCTCTTAACTGGTTTCAAAAGGGTCTGGTGAGAGTGGGGATGCCAGAGAAGGGGAGAGAAGTTGGCTCAGGCAGAGAACCAGGGGACATAGCCAAAGGGGCACAGAAGACACAGCAGCTTCCCAACCTACTTAAGCATCAGAAGATCAGCTTCCACGGTCACCCTATCATGATCCTCTCAGCAGGGATCTTGCTACAAACTGCTCTCATCAAGAAGTTTTCCCAGATGGCTGCAGAAGACAGGATGCACAAACTGAATGGGGATAGAAGGAACAGCAGGCCTGGCAGGAGTCACATTCCCCATGTCACTGACTTCAAGATACTTCTTTTATTCCTCAAGGAGGGGTTTCTCTCACATTCCCTTCCCTATAGTATTACCTTCTCAGTCAACCTCGGCTGCATGGGGGCCAGGCAACCACAAGAGGCCATGCTAGGAAGAAGTGAACAGGAGAAGAGATTCATCAACACCTGCTTTCCCAAAGAGCAAGCAGGTCTCGTGTCACATGCACTCTTTCTGGC